TGTTCCGAAATATCACTTACTCGAACCGTCCTGACCGCGTAGCTCAGTTGGAAGAGCATTGGGCTAGTATTCCAAAGGTCGTAGGTTCAAATCCCACCATGGCCGGGCATATTTTTCAAGCTCGCCCGGTGTGGATATACACTCAGAGTAACACCACAAATATCATATTCACCTGAGTACACTACACCAACACAGAAAAAAATTCGTATTGTATATATTTTACCTCATTCAACCGCTTGACTTGATCCTTCATAAGGGCAATAAGAGGACTAATAATAATAATAATTGGCTCTTTTGTCCATATCTTTGTGTTGGGAGCATGTGAATACATCCACATTTCAGCTAATGGGGCGATATGAAATACTCAAATACTAGCAACTTCCCAGAACCAGTTGGCATGTTTACAAACACGTCTTTCTTTTGCATAAAATTATATAAAGCACCACACTGACCGCTCTGTAGACTCTCGACTTGAAAAATATGACAGATATCTTTTACACAGCGACAAAATAGGTTTAAATCAACTTCTCTATGAGGACTTCGCTCATTTTGAAACGCCATGTTTCAATTTACTATAAATTAATTATCGTTCTCGCACTAAATTATGCAGTAATTATAAACTAGCCAATCAGAAGCGATGACCAGAAACAGGTCATATGGACGTCATCAGTATGGAATGTTTGGGGTTATTTTGCAGACGGACTTATCACAACGAAGGAGTGAATTAGGCCGGCTGTATTCGCAGGCTAGCAAATGTGCAGCTGTGAGATTTTATCAAGTGGCTTACAGGTACATACACCACACCCCCACTTGGCTTCCCCAAAAGGTTTTCAATCAAATTTGTTCATGGTTGTCCTGCAGACCAACAGCCTCGACATGTGCTATAAGTATGAATATTCCGGTTCATATCAACAACAAAAATATTATGAATGAGATGATTGCATCTGCTGTTCAAGAATCAGATGGCTTTGGACTGATCTAGAGTATTCTAGTTGCTGTGTTTCAATGTCAAATAGTATCAGCACTGTACTAGCATAATCAAATTAATATTTAGTTATTGCAATATTGTCCAAGATTGTAATAAGCGTTTACTGTTTTGTCTCCAGGCGACTAAGCAGTAAGCATTGACTTAAGAAGTTTTTTTGAGATATGAACTTTTTTATTTCTACACTTTTCCTGTAATGTTAATTCAAAAAGGCTTTCAGTTAGAATTATATTCAAACATTTAGAGAATCCAGTTTTTTTTCAATTAACAACCATGCTCAACCATGCTCTGTCAGAAAGTCATCTGGAGATACATAGTTTGTTGTTATATTTAAGTTTATAACTCTTTATAACTTTAGAGTGTTGAGTGAACATCCCTCTATTTTAACATTGTATAAATTGGGAAAAATATTTACATTGTTTTTTTTTTATGCCAAAAGATCCTTAAAGGGCCCCTACAGTCATTTTTTAATCGAAAAGCCACCTTAAGTAGGGGATTCCACGGAGGTTCGTTTTACTGTATCTTACACGCAGTACCCATGAGTATGAGTACTTCTGCACACTGGAATACGCATGCTTGCTGTCATACCTAATTTTAGTGTGCAGTGATAACCAATTTGTGCAGTGATAAAAGTAAAATGTGCAGTGATAAAATGTAAAATGTGCAGTGATAAAATTTGCTTTCAATTGATAAGTTGTTAATTAAGACAAGAAAATGAGACAATGTCAATGAGCAGAAAAACTGAACTAATCCAGCGAAACATTTTGAATGAGAATGATTTATAATCAAATTGAAATTGAAATGACTGCCAAATTATCATTCGATAATAACATACTTATGGTTCATCAGATGAACAAAGTCTCTCACCAATGATCTTTTTATGGGTTTGGAAGATGGAGTGAATGATACTTAAGATTTTGTAATTACTGTATAATTTTCAGAATTCTATAGAATGTCCTCGCGCATTGCAGGAGCTAGATGCCCTTTTATAGTGCCTAGATTACAAAATTGTCTGTGGGTGCATGTCCCTGGAACTCCTCTAGAGATTACGCCAAAGCCTGTAAGCTGCCTTTCATTTGCCTAGAGGAAAATATTTCTTTTCTTCAGTCATGTTATTATGAAACTAAGCTGCCATAGATATTCGTAACTGCAGGTGCTGTCAAGGCCGCCCAGAGGGGTGCAATTTGCCCTGGGACCCGAGTTAAAGGGGGGGCCCAAATAAAGAATTGCAGTGAAATATACCACATAGATATAACTGTCAACTAGACTTCCAGAATGCAGGATTTAGCCATTTCTGGGACCGCAGATTTCAAATTTTTTCCGGGTGATGCCCCCGGACCCCCTAATCATAGTGTTAGAACATGGAATCACGAGAGCCCCTAAGTCAAAGTTTGTCCTGGGCCCCCAAATCTCCCTGATTGCTGTGCATTGTGCAGTGAATGTTTGTTTTGGCATTTTTGAATATGAATTGTAGCCTGCTTTGTTGTTACACATTTTATAAGAGTGTGTTGAGAAATTTTCAGGCTGTGCTTCTGCTCAGCTAAACTTTGCACAAAAATGTGCAGTGATAAAAAAATCTTAAAATTGGGTATGCATGCTGTGGTGTGCATGTCAAGTAGCGACAATAACAAAAAAATGTAAACAATACTTAAGGTGGCTTTTCAACTAAAAAATGACTGTAGGGCCCCTTTAAATATGACACATCATGTTGTATATTGTTGAATTTTTGAAAAAGATCAAAAGCATCTTCTACGTTAGCAGGATACTCCCAATCTTATGTTTCCATTCTTTAACATTCTCGGTGCCACAATCTGACCGTACAACACAGGGACACCCTTTCAAATTCTCAACGGCATCAAGATACAATCTGGCTGGAATCTTGGGGTTATTGTTAGATTTCACAAGTTCCAACCAAATTATCCTTTTACTATATTCGCAAATACACCCATGGATAGGTAAATCCATAGGGTTTCAGCTTGTTGTCAGTGGCATAGCTAGCAGTCATGCTGGTCATGCTGAGCATGACTAAACATTTTCCCCAAAATAAAGAATTTCTTTCTGCTAAAATTCAAATTCAAATCTTTTAGCTTTCCGAAACTTTCACAAGTACTTTAGATGAGATTTTCGCTAAATTATGTCATTTTCGGCAAAATATTGCTCATTTTGCATAGTTTACCTAGCAACAAACATGGCGAGTTTGTGTGAATTTCGTGTGTACAGCATTTTGTGGTCTAGTCATGCCCTATGAAATCAGCATGACCAAGTAATATATTTTATAGTAGAAATACTGGCAATCTGATTGGATAATGGCAACGGCGCATGCTCAAATGCGCTGTTTAATTTTGCAACATGAACATGACTTGAGCCTTTGGATGTTTGATACAGTTTTTCTGTTTGAGATAATTTCACGCTCAAATACTCCGTTCAAGGTAAGTGATTTCACGTTGTATTAATTTGCATTATAATGGATTCAGGAAGCGTGACTGCTTCCACAGAGGCAGATATTATAAGTGATTTGCTGAAGAAATCTTTCTCTACTCGTCAACCGGGCAAGCAAAATATAATTGTAATGCAACAGCGAATGCCAAATTTACAATCGACCACTGGGGATAGAAGGTTTCAGGTGAGTTGGTACACAAAGAAAGATTGGCTTTGTGTCAGTTTAACCAAGAAGGCAATGTTTTGCTGGCCATGTCTTTTATTTTGTCCTGGAACTTCATCATCATGGACGAAGACTGGCTTCAGAAATATGAAGGGCTTTCTGTCAGATTGCAAGAAGCATGAGAGGGCAGGATTCCACATGGCTGCTTACAAGACCTGGAAAACCTATGGTTCTGGACCTCGTGTGGACTCTCACTCACAAGCCAGACGTGACGAGATTCAGCGTCATAATGAGGAGGTAAGGCAAAATAGAGAAATGTTTAAAAATGTAACACAAGCTGTTCTATATTTGTCTAGGCAAGAGCTTGCATTTAGAGGTCATGATGAATCTAACGATAGCTTGAACAGAGGGGAATACAGGGAATTGCTTGAACGTTTTGCCAGAATGGATTCTGTTTTTGAAAGGCAGTTACATGGTAGGCTTGCCGAATCGAGCTTGAGAGGGGGTGGGCGGTTTACTGGAGTTTCCCCTGATATTCAAAATGATTTGATTAATTGTCTTGATATGATAATTGATATGATTGCACTTTTTTGAGTATACAGGTTGATGAGGCGACTGATGTATCCACCAAAGAGCAGTTGTGTATGATCGTTCGTCTGGATAAAGGGAGTGATATTATAGAAAGGCAACATGGGTTTGTAGATGTTAGTTCCAACAGAACTGCAACTACTTTATCGACAGTTATTAAATGTAAGTTGATTCAGCATGAAAATATCATGGATAAGCTTATTGGACAAACTTATGATGGTGTCATAATGTCGGGTCATCTCAATGGTGTTCAAGCTCAAATACAACGGGAATATCCTTTTGCCCATTTTGTTCATTGTGCAGCTCATAGGCTGAATCTTGTATTGTGTCAAGCTGCATCCTCTTTTGCACCTGTGAAGAGATTTTTTATTAACATATGTGCTTTTTGTACTTTTACTAACAATGCTCCAAGGAGGAAAGCATTTCTGTCTTCCCATAACCTTGAGTTTCCCAGTCCTGGTGATACACAGTGGTACTATAGAGCTCGTGTCATCAATGTTTTGTATAATAATTATGAGAAACTTATAGAAATATTTGAAAATATTGTTGACAATCCAACAGGTTGGGATGATGAAACATTGAATAAGATGACTGGTTTACTTGGTTACCTTAATGGATTTTTGTTTTGTTTTTTGGTGTTAATTTTTCAGAAGATTTTAGAGCAGTCATCTATACTTTATTCCATCTTGCAAGACAAAAATACTGATTTTCAATGTGGGATGAAATTGAAACTGAGAGTTAACGGCAGGTACAAAACGCAGGTTGGAATTTTGCAGGTTGGGAATTTTGCAGGTTGGAGTTTTGCAGGTTGGGGATTTTGCAGGTTGGAATTTTGCAGGTTGGAATTTTGCAGGTTGCCAGGAACTTTGCAGGTTGACAATGCATGCACTTATATAAGTTATAATTAGACCACTTTTTTTAGTATTCTATAGTAAATTTAGTTGTATATTTATTGCAATCTGACTCCTTATCGGCGCTTTTGATATCAGCCTATCCTGCTGCCATGTTCCTAGCCTCTGCTCTAAGGCTAGTGGCCATCACCCCCGTGAAAGCATTCAAAATGACCAGATTGGCTTGGACCTACAGGGAGACAAATGTTTTGATTGTTGCGAGGTGCCTACATGGCGTGGCGGCGTTTACACTAGAATGTTATTAAAAGTTAACTAACTCTCTAGTAATGATACGGTAATTGGCAATTCCAGCTTTTAATTTATGCGCGCAGGGGGTGAATGGAAGTAAGGTGTCATATTGCTGATTATGCCGAAAAATTTCAATAAAAACTGCCAAACAACCTAAATATTTCAATATTTAGAAGTACAAGCTATCACTCATTTTTATTTTTTCAGCATAATCAGCAATATGATACCTAACTTCCCATCCTCCCCTGCATGCATAATTTGCAAAAATTAAAAGCTGGAATTGCCTATTGGGGGCTTGAGTGGACTTCTCATAAGTGGGTGCAGAGGAGAGACACCTCATTCAGGCATTTTCTGAACTGGCACCACATCATGTAGGCTCCTCGCAACAATCGAAACATTCGTCCCCCTGAAGGTCCAAGCCAATCTAGTCATTTTGAATGTTTTAACGAAGGTGATGGCCACTCTTTAGAGCAGAGGCTAGGCACATGGCAGCAGGATAGGCTGATATAAAAACCGACAAGGAGCCAGACTGCAATAAGTACACAATTCAATTATACTAGTCAGAATACTTTATAGTGGTGTATCGTTTGCATCATCAACCTGCAAAAACCCCTGGCAACCTTGCATCATCAACCAGCAAAATTCCTGGCAACCTGCAAAATTCCAACCTGCAAAATCCCCAACCTGCAAAATTCCAACCTGCAAAATCCCCAACCTGCAAAATTCCAACCTGCAAAATCCCCAACCTGCAAAATTCCAACCTGCAAAATCCCTAACCTGCAAAATTCCAACCTGCAAAATTCCCAACCTGCAACCTGCGTTTTGTACCTGCCGGAGAATTACTTCTCTGAGAACAGATGCCAAATTTGAGAATTACTTCTCTGAGAACAGATGCCAAATATTCTGAGTTTTACGACAAAGCTGTTGAGAAAGTGGGCCCTCCAGTGACCAAGTATGACCTAAAGCATAATTACAAACAAATGTTTTTTGAAATTCTTGATTCCATTGTAGGCATGCTGACTGAGCATTTTCACAATATGGATCGTTTTAGGGTTCTTGTGAACCCAAGGGTATTTAAGACTTGGAATGGTGAAGTGCCCTCAGAGAAACTGGATCTTCTCAAGGAAATGTATGGTGATTTATTTGACATACCAATGCTAGTCAGCCAACTTTGTTTTATTTACAGGGATAAGGACTTTCATAAAGATTCTTGTGGAGAGTTATTGAAATATATTTTTCAGTTCCATCTGCAATCTAGCATTCCTGAAGTAGTAAAGTTGCTGAAGATGAATGGTGTTATATCAGTCACTAGTGCTTCTGTTGAAAGATCATTTTCCTGTTTTAAGAGGGTAAAAAGTTATTTGAGAAATACCATGAGTCAAGGCCGTCTTAGTTCTCTTTGCAGGATTTCCATACACAAAGACATATTGTCAGAAAAAGAAGATGCAGGTACCTTGCATGAAGAGGTGGTAAAGAGGTTTGTTGAAAAACCAAGGAGACTTGCTTTCCTATATAAGTAATGGTATATCTAATATAGGTTGGTACCTCATATTAACCCATTAAAGAGCAAGACTCTTTCCTTGGCAACTAAAACCATCTGGCTTTAGACGGAGTTAAAGAATAAAATTGGGTGCATTGCTGCTTAATGGGTTAATATACATGTTTGTCAGTATGATTTCAGTTTTGTCACCTTTAATTTACAGCTTAAAATTACTTGCATATCAGGGAATATTAGATTTATACCACTCAAATGTGGTGAGTCCATGATAAAACTCTTCCTGGGTGAAAATAATTTCCATGTTATTATTTTACTATTTCTATGTTAATTAGACTTATACAGAAAATTGCACCGGTGCAGAAAGTTTGTCTTGCATTTACATATTAGTCTATGGCTTATTGTATGTTTTTTCGTTGGCAATGATGATTGTCTTTCTAGTGCAGCATCATAACTTTTTGATTATTGTTTGCAGTCATAGGCATAGAAACATCGATAATTGGGGGGCCTATATTCATATATTCGTGCTCTGCTTTATTAATTTCTTTTGAAATCAATTGTTTTTATGGTATGTGAACACGAATATATGAATATGGGCCCCCCAATTATCAATCTTTATACGCCTATGTTTGCAGTTTGCATCCAATCTGAGCCTGCGAGTGAAGTTATAAAAAATTAAACTCGTTTGAGTTAATTGTAATGTAATTAGTAATGCTGTTCATGCTGAAATAACATAATTATTACACATGCATTGTTTTTATTGTGTTTTCCTAAACTGGTTTCACTTTTTGTATGGAGTTTATTATGAATTTCCGTATGTTTTGCTGCACAGAATGAAGGAAATTACGTTCGAGTGATGCTAAATTACCCAAATGTTTTGTATAAATATGAATAAATGTCTGAAAAGGCTGTTTCCGACGATCTAGAGGCCCTAATTTTTAATATTTTTTCTCGCTTGGCACCAACCATGGTTGGCGCCTTGTGAGATTGGTAATCAGCAAATACTAATAGCATGACCAATCTTTTTTCCTAGCTACGTTACTGCTTGTTATACCCTAAATAAAATAAAGACATATTAATTAGTTCTTTGTAGGTTTGCAGGGCATGCCAGATATAACGGTACCCAGCCAGGCTACCTGCTTCTTGCATCTCCTGCTCAATACAATGTCAAACAGTTTGTTTGCCATAATTAGCTTCTCTTCTTTTTAATCCAAGCTCCTTGAGTTTCCTTTTAAGGGTTCTTACATGGATCTGTACTCCTTGGTGCTTTTTAAGCAAACCTACAATTGCACTATATTGATAGCCACGATAAAAGTAATCTGTTATTATATATCATTTCTTGAACCCTCTGTAACGTTAACTCTACAACCACATGTGTGACAAAAAAATGAATCGGAAACCACGCCACATGAACTGCAAAACATCTCTCTTACTTCTATCTTTGTTGTTGAATTTGGCAATTCCAAAATGGCGAACATCAATGTTTAATTTAGTCTTGAACTTGAATTTATGCGCACACATAAATTCTGGGTTTTAATTTGCGGCAACTTTATTTTAATTTGCAGCAACTTTATTTTAATTTGAAGCAACTTTATTTTAATTTGCAGCAACTTTATTTTTAATTTGCAGCAACTTTATTTTCAATTTGCAGCAATGTTATTTTGGTAATTGCAGCAACTTTAATATAATTGCTGCAATTATAATATATTTGCAGAATATTTATTATATTTGAACGAATTTTAACATATTTGAAATAATTATTTTATTTGCAGCATGTCCCTTGTGGGCCACCGTACCTTACAATTTTTTTGTATTTTACCAAGGCAAAATACTCCTGTTTAAGTAGAGAAACTTCATATCTTTTGTATAAGTTGTCCCTCTACGAACCAACTTTTAGTCATTATATAAGAGTTGAATTGGCATTCATTTGCTTTGCAAGTCGCAACAAACTCAACAAAGTACTAAACCATACACCTGTGCAAATGATTGAGCATCTTGAGTGACATATCCAAGTCTCGTACAAACAAATCTCACAAGTTTTTTCTACAGAAAGTATTGATCCATTTGATCGATCGCCGTACTTTGAGAAAAGCTTCAAATGCAAAATTCACAGGGAAGATTGAAGAATTTCAGAGATAAAAACTGTTTGTCTTCAAGTTTCAACTCTAAAGTAACAATTACGTAATGTTGAAGTCACATGACCAGCGTTTACCAGGGCTACGCTGCCGCCTTCAATTCGCAGCTAGCCCTGGGTACAAGGTTGTACGAATATTTGTCCCACATATAGCTAGTTGATGTTAAGAATGAAATTCATATTCTGGGCCAGGGTTAATAGTGAGCTCCATAATTTACATTGAATCATTCATATGGATATAAAGTTATGTATTTTTTATTTTGTAATCATTTTTTATTCTTCCTTTCAAGCCACTGTAATTTTTCAGAAGAGTCAATTGACTGATGGCTCTAAGTTACAAGTAATCCTACACCTCAGTTAATTTCAGTTCATTTTGATTGCTTAGCAACTAAGAAACTCATGCCTAACTGGGCTCAACCAGTTTATCAACATTTTTTATGGTTTTATATGCTTGTATTCTGTATGTTATGAGTGTATAAATGACACTGGGATTTGGATGACATTTTGATTTGTTGCACATTAATTTCCAATTAAAACAGTAATCTATTCAGCAACACTCGCCTCATCTGTTCAGTTCAATGAAGGTATTGGGATGAAAATATGGGTTTGAACAGATGTGGAAAGGTTGCGCGGCAACAGAAGTGCCGGAACTGGATGAATTTGTGGGTGGGCGGGTGGGTTGTTTTGTATTTCAGTCAGATTTGTGTCTCCTGACGGAATTCACGCTAAATGGTGCAATTTCTGCTAGGTGTGGTCATTTTATACATTGCCTGTATCACCTGACACCTACTCTACATATATATTGCATAATTATACCACATTTCCTTTTACATATGATTACGAGTATTGTGAATAGTAATCTATTCACCAACACTCGCCTCATCTGTTCAGTTCAATGAAGGTATTGGGATGAAAATATGGGTCACCACCACTTGTTCTCAGTTACTCATCCCACCCCACCCACCGATTCATCTCTTACGTTTGTCTCCCAATCCTTCTAATCTCCCAATCCTTCTTTCCATCCTACTCCCATACCTTATCCCCAAACCTCAAATTATATCCTGTTCATGCAGCCGAATCGGTAGGCGGGCACATGGTCAAAAATCTAACAGGATACACACAAATAACACATATAAGTTGATTAATATCATTCCAGTCCGCCGTTGCTTGTAGTTTATCATGGGACGGCAACTTAACAGACGCTCCCATTGCATGTAACACCATCTCGAGTGGAAGAGAATGCAGCACGGTATACCGTCGTGACCAATACATGACTCAAGAGTTCGGATAATTCGATGGCTATATATAGCATTCGCTATATATCGTTCGATGGCAGCCAACAGGCACAAAATGGTGTTAGAATTTCAGTGAATTCCAAATACATTAGCGCCTCCAACACGTAAAGTCGTGCGCAGGAACTGTCACCTGTCCTAAGGCTCCAATGCGTGCACCACTAAAAACATGTACTTGAAATAGCCGGATCTGGGGAGTCTGCTGCTCGCCTACGATCATCTCCCATGTTTCGTAATATTTATGTAGCTCCACCGGACGAAAAGAATGAGGAATTAGGAATAATAAAATAATTGGATCACCCAACTAATCGCCACAAAATACGCACAATTTAATTCTGCAATATGTGGGCGGACGGCCAGGCCCCCACCAACGGCATCAGCGTTCCCCCCATAATTGACCCATGTAGCCGTCTCTGGCCATGGGGAGCTGCGTCCACAACCTGTAGAACATCAAACTCGAAAGCCTACTCCCATGGTAAATTGGTAACCTGAGCATAGATGAGGAGAACAACCAAAACACCGTCAGTAGAGGGGCGACCGTCCTGACCCAGTAAATCAACCGGGGGAAGCCATACATAATGTATGAAGGAAACTTCCGTTTGCAGGACCGTCACTCTCCATTAGGTGATTGGATGGCAAAACAAGTCGAAAAAGACCAAAACAATAAACAAAGACAGCATTAATAATCGGATGAATCTCGTAAGTCGACATACCCATGTAAATGATACATGTGAAAAGGATCACTACCACAACAATGCTCGCGCTCAGAGTATCGTAAGGACATCATTCATTGAAAAATATCACACCAAAATAACGCACATGCACATACATATTTTAAAAATTAACTCGATGTCCGTGCGAAATATTTTGACCAAACGGAAAGAATTGCCCTGGTCATGTTAAGTATCGTGCGAAGCGTTCTGCAAACTGCCTCGACCAGATCCACCACTTTGTATTGATTAACTGCTAACTGAGCAGTGCTAAGAACGAACACAGCACCAGGGTCATTCGGTGTAAAGTAAAGATGACCCGCACGCATTGGTGAGCAAGTCTATTGAGTGTTCGATGTCCTCAGATTGAGCACGACAGGTGTAAGGGAAAAGAACATGCACATACTGATCAACAGTATATATGTATAAAGATCTCATACACATCCCATCGTCAATTGTGGAACTAACAGAGTATCTGATGTATCTCAACCGTAGTCAAAGATGAAGATTGTGGGAAAATATCCGATCTACTCTAGATCTTGGCGAAATTTAATCATAGTTTATAACTCATGAACCACAAAATGGTATGCATCGTGTTGGAACCCAGTACAATATACTATGTTCGAATTTGACCAGAGAATCTTAGAAAATTCATTCAAATAGCGCAACACATAAACGCATGAATGAGTAAACTCAGGAGTATTGTTGATTAAAATATTTGAATAACGAAGATCCTCAATTCAAACGACAGCATGTCAACATAGAACAGACCTATACGAAACTCTTGTATTATCAAATCCATTACTCCAGAACACTAATTACACACATGCCAAAGAACAACAGTCGTATTAATTCCAAACGTTCTGTGACATGTTTATCACTGGGGGCTATTTAACGCCATTGCATGCAGTCATGAAATAAACGAGCATTTGCACCAGTTACAGCTTCCTGCATGATCAACCATGCTATCCTAGCATACTACAGTGCACTGGTTAAACATAAACCAAACAAAGATAGTCATTTCAAACAGCGCAAGCCTTCCCGCGACAGATTGGTCATGGAGCACTGCAAACAAGACCAGTTTCATAACGAAAACTGACGAACAATTACACTAGTGCAAGCGTCCCGTATATTGATCAGCTATTCTACAGGGCACGAGTTACATATGTCGCAAACAAATAATCTAGTCATTTCACACAGCTCAAGCCTTCCCACGATATATTGACCACGGGGCACTGTAGATAAAACCACTTTCATAGAACTGAATAAACGATCAGTCACACCAGTTCAAGCTTCCCGTATTGTCAAGCATTCTACGGGGCACTGGTTTAATCATTTATACAGCTCAAGCTGTCCCACGACATACTTATCACGGGGTGCTGTAGATAAAACCACTATCATATCACATGATAAACGATCAGTCACACCAGTTCAAGCTTCCCGTATTATCAAGCATTCCACGGGGCACTGGTTTAATCATTTCATACAGCTCAAGCCTTCCCACGACGTATTTATCAAGGGGCGCTGTAGATAAAACCACTTGCATATAACTGAATAAACAATCAGTCACACCAGTTCAAGCTTCCCGTATTATCAAGCATTCCACAGGGCACTGGTTTAATCATTTCATACAGCTCAAGCCTTCCCACGACATATATGCTACGAGGCGCTGTAGATAAAACCACTTTCATACAACTGAATAACGATCATTCACACCAGTTCAAGCTTCCCGTATTATCAAGCATTCCACGGGGCACTGGTTGCATCATTTCATACAGCTCAAGCCTTCCCACGACATATTTACCATGGGGCGCTGTAGATAAAACCACTTTCATCAATAAACGAATGGTTACACCAGTTCAAACTTCCCATATTAGATTATCGAATTCGTCGATACACATGCCTCAGATCAATAATCAGTTATTCATTTCAACGATAAATAACAGCATTCGAACTAGCATTGCCGCCTACGAGCGGGCCATTACTCATTAGTATGAATTATTATGCCTACACTGTTATTGAACAATGGGTGAAAAGATGGCAAAAGATATGGCACAAGGCGCCATATCCTACCTCAAGACACTTATTTTAACAGCAGACACTCTACTAAAATCTGGACTAACTCATATTTGACAAGCAATACTATAACCCGCCTTGATTAACCATCCTAACAGAGGGGAGCCATGCACAACTAAAACTCGTACAAGGCGCTCATGCACGTGCAAGCGAGCACGATTACAATTACATTATAACGAATACAGTTATACCTCCAAATCGTCTGAGATTTGTTGCCGTTGTGGCGCTACTGGAGGATCTTGTGGACTTCGGCGTGATCAAGGCCTTGCGAAACAGCTGGTAACGCTGCTTGGACAAGATATTGCTCTTCCTCTGCCATGACTCTCAACGAAACTTGTCCAGTTCGGGTCACCCAATTTTTGTCTTTCGGTTAGATTTGTGTCTCCTGACGGAATTCACGCTAAATGGTGCAATTTCTGCTAGGTGTGGTCATTTTATACATTGCCTGTATCACGTGACACCTAATCTACATATATATTGCATAATTATACCACATTTCCTTTTACATATGATTACGAGTATTGCGAATAGTCATGCAAAATAAATACTATCAGAAATTAATAAAGAATGTACTGCGTCAAATATGCGTCTCTCGCTGTTTTTCTTTGTTGAAAAACGTAAACAGTTTTGGAATGTCTTCTACATTTTGCATACTTTTGCTTTCTACATTACATACTTGTTGCTTTTCCAAATTTGATGAAGATATGGTAAATGTATATATTTGCTGCCGAAGGCAGCACTCCTAATCTTGACATGAAGGTTTCTCGCTCACTCGACAGTTTTTCGCACTCGACCCAGTCATTCGCGCCGATCTATGTATTGGCGAGATCGAGATCTCGTGTCTGTTGCAATTCCAGGGGGGGGGGAGTGGGAGAAAAATATTGAATTGCGTGCACATAACTTGCAAGCTTTTTACTCTGGATCTGAAAATGCAAAATATACAAATACTTCCCCGAAGAAACCAGGTTAGTATGGCTTTATTTCTGTTAAGTTATGCTCATAATACTTCATATAACAATAATGTAATTAGTTGTGATTTTAGTTCAGTTAACCAATGATATGATTAAGACAATGAATACAATATATTTCCTGTAATACCATATATAGCATGATTAACAATTATTCTGACCAATTGTAATTTAGCACATTGTAACATAAACGCACTTGATGTAAAATAAAACTTAGTTCTTGTATGCTTCCACGGAGTGTGTATCTCTTGTAATAAAGAATGACAATTATATAATAATGACAACTACAACGAACTCAACAGGTTATGCACCCAGAAGAGGCTTGCTATTCAACGGTAACAAAAGCAAATATGAGTTGTGGGAAGTAAAGTTCCTGGGCTATATGCTGCTACAAAAGCTATATAAAGTATTTGTGTGGGATGCAAGCGAGAAAGACCCACCAGACGCTTCGACGCAAGCTGATGCTTTTGCCGAACTCGTGCAATGTCTGGATGATAGAAGTTTATCGCTAGTGATACAAGACGCGAGAGACGATGGGAGGAAAGCGCTAGAAGTTCTCAGACAGCACTACCACGGGAAGGGAAAGCCACATATAATTTCGCCTTATACAGAACTGACATCGCTAAAGAAAGAAGAGAATGAGCCAATAGTCAATTATGTCATACGAGCCGAGTCATTTGCGACAGCGTTACGAAATGCTGAGGAAGATATCAGCGACGCATTGTTAATCGCGATGGTTTTGAAAGGCTTACCGAGGGAATACGACACGTTTGCCACGGTAGTTGCGCAAAGAGAGAAACAAATGACTTTCGCCGAATTCAAGAGCGCGCTGCGAAGCCACAAGGAAAGCGCAAAGACACATGGTGGGAAGGCTGCCAGCAGGGAGAATATCATGTTGACGAAGCAAAAGTTTGATGGGAACTGTTTTAAATGCGGGAGAAAGGGACATAAAAGCGCGGAGTGTTGGTCGAAGACATTGGAAAGATGGTGTAGCAACTGTAAAAGTAAAACCCACAAGACAAAGAATTGCCGGAAGAAGAAAGATGCAGCGAAGACAGCAGCCGAGAAGACAACGTCAAGTGAGAACAATGAACATACGTTTGCCTTTACATCCAAGGACACAATTAATAAATCAGGTATAAATAATAAGAGTAATTCTAGTTTATTAGTAGATACTGGAGCCACAAGTCACATTATAAATGACAAATCAGAATTTGTGGACTTTGATAAAGAATTTAATCCTAGTGCGCATGTCATAGAACTCGCTGATGGCAGTAAAGCCAACGTAGTATTAGGAAAAGGAAATGCCAAAGTTAAACTTTATGATGTCAATGGTAATGCATGTGAAGTAATGTTAAATAGCGCATTGTATGTTCCGTCCTATGATCAAAATATTTTTCATTGCATGCTGCGATAGAAAGGGGGGCAGTATTAGTTTAGATAAGCAGGTGAAACAGCTCAAATGTCCTGATGGCACAACGTTTGGAATGAAACAAAAAGGTAGGTTATATTATTTAAATAGTATTTCATCCTCTAAGAATAGTGCATGTTCTCTGCATGAATGGCATAAAATCCTTGGTCACTGTAATTATGGTGATATTCAGAAATTGGAAAATGTTGTAGAGGGGATGAATATTTCCAACCATGATGAAGTAGAGTGTACTGTTTGCACTAAAGGCAAGATGTGCCAATTTAGGAATAGATCCCCAGATGAAAGAGCAACTGCTCCTTTAGATTTTGTGCATTGTGACCTGGCTGGTCCTATTGATCCTGTAGGAAGAGATGGCTTTAAGTATGCTTTGTCATTCGTTGATGACTATTCAGGGATTATTATGGTCTATTTTCTAAAATGTAAGAGTGATACCCCAGAAGCATTACAGCAATTTTTGGCTGATGCTGCTCCTTTTGGGAGGGTTAAGAGGCTGTCTCCGTAAAAACCTCCAGGTCAATATGGGGCTCAAAAATAGATTTCTCTCATACTCTAGTATTTTGAAGATCTATCCTTGGGAACAACTAAAATCGATGTCATTTTACTCAAATTTCCTTTAAATTATTTTTGGGGCGATTGATGTTCGATCGACTGGTAACCAACTTGATACTCCGAATGAAGGCCAAATATCGACATATTTTCAGCGCTATTTTTAAATCAAATTCATACCTAAATTTCAAAATTTTTGCTCAGAAATATAGACTTATCCTTCTATTTTCGTCGGTGATACAACTTAGATCATTATTCTTTGGTATAAAATAGAAAACAGCGCAGTTATTGACCCTCCCGAACGGATAAAGGATATCGTCTCAAAATATGTCAACTTCGAAAGCTTATTTCAAAATCGTGGCACTTGATTGGCACATGACTTTAACTTTTCTATAAACTACTAACATTAGTCAACACAAATCGCCAATAATATCTTTCTGCTCTACCATTTGACAAAAATGACAAGCGCGCAAACTTTGTAAAATTTGAAAATGTGTCGAAATCGAGCATACTTTATTGGTAAACATAATTATTGATATTAACAGATAAAATCACCTTACACTACACTGAATGAAGCTTCATTATGTAAATATATGTCTTTCATCATTATTCTTTGGTTTGGCGCTTGAATCAAATTGTTTGAGTACAGTTTGGCTTCACGGATAGAGTCATTCAATGCCAGTGTGTCCAGTGTCTTCTGCGCGCCTCAATGCCACGAGTCCTGATTGTGACATACTATACAATCTTCGCTCTGTTCGCTCTGTTTACCTCTTTAACAAATACCTTTACCTGTTTAACAAATAACAATGTTCAATGAAATTGGAAAACTCAGAATTAGTCATACAACAGACAGAATTTTCATTGTTTTTAAACTGTTTTATAAAAGTTTCATTAGAATGTACGAATTAAATCTTGTTGGCCTGGGCCGAACGAAATCAGAAATGTATACTCGCTGTGATGTCAAATGTCAATATTTTGTTAGTTTCGCTCAGTATATTTTTCTAGCAACTGAATTGTCTCTAGGTTTAGAAACAATTATCAATGAAACTAAAATTCAAGTAAGTCACGGTTCTGTATAAAAAATCAACTTTTTCAGGCCGACCTGGGTCACTTTGCTCAAGGCTATGCTTCAAGAATTTATATTATTTCTTGTTGTATAAAAATATGCGAATATTTTGATATAATACAAAACAATTCAGCGCAAACAGCTGTAACCCATTTCAACACGTCTCAGTTATTTAATCAATGTTATTCCTTTTTTTAGTAACAATTAGAAAGGTTCTGAAAATTAGAATTAATTTATATTCTTCTTTCCGACAAGCTTTAAAGGGTGACAAATTTGCAAGTGATAACTAATGTCATTCTTACACGCCAGCAACTTTGAAGAACAGTCTACTGTGTCTCGGAATTTTCCACACTCAGAAGTAGAAAAGGAACATTTCTACATTATTGCTTACCGTCATTTTCATCTGTCAGCATAAAATCTACTGTCTGTCCAAATCGTTTAGGTTTACCTAACGTTGCGTGATCACAAATTGCGGCTGTAGTAGAAGTAGAACACCATTATTGTAAACACAAAAACCTCGTGCAATACTGTCTAAGACTACTATTTAATTCAATACAAAGAAAGGGAAATCAGAGAGCAACGAAACATTTCATTGTCATTTGATTGACATGTTTACGCTCAGCGAGTACATTTCTTTCGGTTAGGAGTTTTCCCCGAGATTAATTCGTACATTCTATAAAACGAAACTTTTATATAACAGTTTAAGGTAAACAAACCAATGAAAGTTATGTCTGTAGTATGACTAATTCTGAATTTTCTAATTTCTTTGAGACATTTTATTTACAGGAGGTAAACAAAGCGAACAGAGCGAAGTTCGTATGTCACAATCAGGACTGATGCCGTCATGGCATTGAGGCGCGCAGAATTTGAACACACTGCTGGACACACTGGCATTGAATGACTATCCTTGAAGCCAAACTGTACAGTCAAACAATTTCATTCGAGTGCAAAACCAAAGAATAATGATGAAAGACATATATTTACATAATCAAGCTTCATTCAGTGTAGTGTAAGGTGGTTTTATTTGTTAATATCAAGAATTATGTTTACCGATAAAGTATGCCCGAGTTCGACACATTTTCAAATTTTACAAAGTTTGCGCGCTTGTCATTTTTGTCAAATGGTAGAGCAGAAAGATATTATTGGCGATTTGTGTTGACTAATGTTAGTAGTTTATAGAAAAGTTAAAGTCATGTGCCAATCAAGTGCCACGATTTTGAAATAAGCTTTCGAAGTTGGCATATTTTGAGACGATATCCTTTATCCGTTCAGGAGGGTCAATAACTGCGCTGTTTTCTATTTTATACCAAAGAATAATGATCTAAGTCATATCACCCGCGAAAATAGAAGGATAAGTCTATATTTCTGAGCAAAAATTTTGAAATTTAGGTATGAATTTGATTTAAAAAATAGCGCTGAAAATATGTCGATACTTGGCCTTCATTCGGAGTATCAAGTTGGTTACCAGTCGATCGAACATCAATCGCCCCCAAAAATAATTTAAAGGAAATTTGAGTAAAATGACATCGATTTTAGTTGTTCCCAAGGATAGATCTTCAAAATACTAGAGTATGAGAGAAATCTATTTTTGAGCCCCATACTGACCTGGAGGTTTTTACGGAGACAGCCTCTTAAGCATGTCAGGAGTGACAATGGCACAGAATTCACTAGTCATAAATTCAAATCTATTCTTTGAGAAAATAGGATAAGGCATGAGACTGGTGCACCATATTCCCCACATCAGAATGGAACGGTGGAAAGAGCATGGTTGAGTCTTTTTAATATGGCTCGATGTTTGTTGCTTGAGGCAAACTTGCCAAAGTCCATATGGACTTATGCTGTTATGGCAGCAGCCTACATCAGAAATCGTTGCTTCAATGCGAGATTGGGCAAAACTCCTTATGAGGCATTTACAGGGTCTAAACCAGATTTGAGCAATATGCATGTCTTTGGTTTCGTTTGTTACGCATATGTGCAAAATGCAAAGAAATTAGATCCTAGAAGTAAACAGGGTATATTTGTGGGATATGATAAAAGAAGTCCTGCATATCTTGTCTTTTATCCTGATTCCAATAAGGTTGAACGTGTAAGGTGTGTGAAATTTTTCAATGAGAGCAACCATGAATCTAAGGTTAATCCTGACGAACAGGAAGGGGAATTTCTGCCCAGTAAAGTGTCTGTACCTATTGCCAATGAGAGTGTAATATCAACACAAGGGGATGAAAGTGCAAATGGCACTGAAACTGTGCATGATGAAGTACAGTACCCTAGTCAAACTCGTACTAAGCCAACATATTTGAATGAATATGTAACTGGTAAGGTTGTTGATGATGCAGCAACATGTGCAGTTGATTATTGCTATAGAACCCATGACATTCCAACTAGCTATTCCCAAGCAGTACATTCTCCTGAAAGAAATAAATGGGAAAAAGCCATGGATGATGAAATTGAGGCCTTAGAGAGCAATGAAAATTTTGAGTTGGTCCCACCCCCAAAGGGCTGTGAGGTAGTGGGGGGGGGGGGGAAATGGGTGTATACCATTAAGATAGGACCAGATAAGGCTGAAACATACAAAGCTCGTTATGTAGCAAAAGGCTACTCGCAGATTCCTGATATTGATTACCATGAAACCTTTTCCCCAACCGCTCGGATGAGCTCTATTCATGTTTTATTACAGCAGGCAATTCAGAATGATATGCTTGTTCACCAGATGGATGTAAAAACAGCCTATTTAAATGGCGCAATAGACTGTGAGATTTTCATAGATCAGCCAGAAGGCTACGAAAGGGTAGGACAAAATGGTGAGAGGTTGGTGTGCAAATTAAATAAGTCTTTGTATGGTCTTAAGCAGAGTGGACGCAATTGGAACATGCTACATGATTACCTTATGAAGGAGAGCTTCACTCAATCACTTGCTGACCCATGTGTTTACATTAGAAATGGTGGTACAAATGAATGTACAATTATCATCATTTGGGTTGATGATCTCATAATTTCTGCTAGCCATGAAATTCTTTTGCAGAGTGTGAAAGATTCTTTAAGTAGTAAATTTAGAATGAAGGACCTAGGGGTATTGTCATGGTTCCTAGGCACAGAATTCAAGTGTTCTGAAAGTGCAATTGAAATGAGCCAAAAGCAATATATTGAGAAATTGCTGTTAAGGTTTGGCATGGCAGAATGCAAGCCAAAGGTGACCCCAACAGTACTAGGTTTAGATAAGGTTGTGGATACAAAATCACCTGAATTGAAAGATCCAACTCTTTATAGAGCGATAGTTGGGAGCCTAATATATGTGATGACAGGTACAAGGCCTGATTTGTGTTATATAGTCACTAAGCTTTCCCAAAACATGTCGAAACCCACTGAAGCTAACCTTATTGCTGCAAAACATGTTCTAAGGTATTTGAAAGGCACAATTTAGCAAAGATTGAGATTCAGGAAATCTGAGAGCACTCTAAAACTTATTGGGTTTTGTGACTCAGATTGGGGAGGTGATGTTTGTGACAGGCATAGCATATCTGGCTATGGTTTTCAGTTGTTGGACGAGGGTCCTTTAGTTTCTTGGAGAAGTAGAAAACAGCTAACTGTTGCATTGTCCACATGTGAGGCAGAGTATATGGCACTGACAGACGCAGTGCAGGAAGCCAAGTTCTTAAAGCAGTTGTGTGTTGATCTACATATTGTTCAGGTAAGTTATAGTGTTCTGGTAAATGGTGACAACCAAGGTGCAATCAATCTAGCTAAGAACCCTATGTACCATAAAAGATCAAAACATATCGATGTGAAGTATCATTTCATTCGAAGTGAAGTTCGAATAGGTAGTATAGTATTAGCATATATTCCAACGGACGAGAATGTAGCAGATATCTTTACAAAGCCAGTTAGTAAAGTCAAGTTAGATAAGTTTGGACCATTTATTTCAGGTAAGTATCATTCAGCATAAGAGCAAGTGGGGGGTGTTAATTTATGCTCATAATACTTCATATAACAATAATGTAATTAGTTGTGATTTTAGTTCAGTTAACCAATGGGCAAGCAATGTGCTTTTACTTATCAGCGCTTTTTACAGCCCGAAATATCCCATTGTACGCATGGTCGTTTAGAACATTTTAGAATGTCTTAATACAAACAGACTAGATGTACTTAAGAGCTCCGAGGTATTGAAACAATATGATTTCATGAATTTACGGGCAGTTTTAATAATAGCCCACCCGATCTATTCGTCAATAATGCCTTATTTATACAAAGAGTCAAAATGTACTTTATAGTTTGTTTGTTTATATGTGTGATGAGTTTATATAGTGTTCATTTTCTAGATGTTTATAGTTTAAAAACAAACGCAGAGTGTTGTTAAAACTAGACACATGGGCAGATAGGCCAGTTAACCCATTAAGCGCCAGCGCTCTCCCCTTGACGAGTAAAATCGTCTGGCGTTAGACAGAGTAAAATTGTCTGGCGTTAGACAGAGTAAAATCGTCTGGCGTTAGACAGAGTAAAATCGTCTGGCATTAGACAGAGTAAAATCGTCTGGCGTTAGACAGAGTAAAATTGTGACGAATTTAAATCTGCCTGTGTGGGTGTCGGCAAATATAACTTCATATACACAAGAAAGTTTAAATATATTTTTCTATAATTTGTTTGATGTATCACAGTGGAAATCCTATACTATTGTGTTGTTAACTGCCTCTCAAGCTATGATACTTGCGTCCTTTGGCGAGTTGTTCCTTCCCGTTGTTTCTTCAGCTAGTCCTGACAATCCCGATTTTCAGAGCGCTTGTTAAGTTTACCAGGGTTTTGATAATGGTCCCCACTTTCAATTCCACTACACCAATCTCCAAATAACTTCGTCTTCACACGTTTACAGCTGAGTGTGTTGCTCAAGTCACTAAAGACTATACCAGAGCGTTTGATCATTGAAGACCCACCTTTCCCATATAATGTAAAGTGCGACGTTGATAACGTATATTTCTTTCGTTTTACTTTATCAAGTTATTTTATCAGTGTGTAGACCACTCCTTAATCGGTTCTACTTCAACACGAGTTCGTTCTGTAAACGAGTAAAATCGTCTGGCATTAGACAGAGTAAAATACTAAAGTAGGGTGCATCAGGGTGCATCGCCACTCAATGGGTTAACTAGACACATGGGCAGATAGGCCAGTTAACCCATTAAGTGCCAGCGTTCTCCCCTTGACGAGTAAAATCGTCTGGCGTTATACAGAGTAAAATCGTCTGGCATTAGACAGAGTAAAATCGTCTGGCGTTAGACAGAGTAAAATCGTCTGGCGTTAGACAGAGTAAAATCGTCTGGCGTTAGACAGAGTAAAATCATCTGGCGTTAGACAGAGTAAAATCGTCTGGCGTTAGACAGAGTAAAATCGTCTGGCATTAGACAGTAAAATCGTCTGGCATTAGACAGAGTAAAATCGTCTGGCGTTAGACAGAGTAAAATCATCTGGCGTTAGACAGAGTAAAATACTGAAGTAGGGTACATCGCCACTCAATGGGTTAACTAGACACATGGGCAGATAGGCCAGTTAACCCATTAAGTGCCAGCGCTCTCCCCTTGATGAGTAAAATCATCTGGCGTTAGACAGAATAAAATACTAAGGTAGGGTGCATCAGGGTGCATCGCCACTCAATGGGTTAATATAGTTTGGCAGTTCTGACTGACATTTAATTTCAGTATATATAAGAACTACAGTGACTTGTCAACAACAAGCCTTTATATAATCCTAAATGCTAATTTACATAAACTGTCATGCTAAATGTGACATCTCCCGGTTTTTTTTAGTTTTTCACAATAATCATGCATATTTCTTAAATTATTAAACAATTCCACTGTTCAGTTCAAGTCAGAACTAAAGTTTCTAATATCCTAGTTCTACTAAATTCATATTATACTACTGTATATATATATACATTATACTTTATACTTAACTAAATGTTCTCAATCAATCGGGAAGGTGCCCTTCGAATTCTTGTGCTTCTTCTCAAAGGTGCACTCGGGATATAACTGGAGAATGAACTGGTGAACGTTCGGTACTCGGGGCTATAACTGGACAATGTTCTTCGCCGACAGGTTCCATTGGTGGTGTAATGATCATTAGTGGTTCGTTAGTTGGCATTAGATGATGGTGATTTCTTCGTAACTGAGTTCCATTTGAAGTTGCCACAATGTACGAATGAGGTGATTTACGTTGTTGAACGACCACGGCAGGATATTTAAATTTTTATTTAAATCGCTAGGATCCATGCAGACTCAAATTTTATTGTTTGCTTTTCTGGCAATGACTAGACTATGTACCCAAGCGGTGGGTTCATTCTTTTTCTCAATAAGCCGCAACTACTCCATTCGACGCAACTCTTCTTCTAGTGGCTTTCGAAGTGCCATAGGAACTCTTTGAGGAGGATGCACCACTGGAATGGACACCGGATCAATCTTAATCTGGTACTGAACATCTTTAATCCCTCCCAGACCTTCGAAAACGTCACTGAATTCTGTTTCGATCTTCGGTGAGTCCACTTCCAAGCTATAAACTCGATTTACCAACCCGAGTTCTAGACAGGATTTTAATCCTAAAATCGATGATAGATCTTGTTCAACTAGTACAAAGTCTAACACGGTAATTTGCCTTTATACTCGCACTCTAAGCTGACTTTTCCTTTCGGAGTTATCTTACAGCCATCCAACATCTTCAACTTGCTTTCATTTTTGAAAATTCTTGTATTTGTTAATGACAATTGCTCAAACGATGATTGCAACATCACATTACAATCAGCCCCTGTATCTGATTTGAATTCAAATCCGTTTTTCCAAACTTAAGCTGGACATGCCAGTCATTCTTTGAGCCGCCTTCGTTATTTGATTCTACTGAAAATGTCAATAAATCATCATCGCTAACTTCGCCATCATCGAATTCCTCTAAAATGTTCACTTCTCTCGGTCTAGAGTCACATTGTTGTTGCTTCACTTGACACACACGCTCAAAATGTCCTGTCTTCTTACAATAGTTGCATGTTTTGCCAAATGCTGGACAATATCTTAATGTGTGAACCATACCACAAAATCCACACTTTTCGGCCTTTGTTTTTTCACGGTGGCTACCTATCTGCTCTTTTCCTTGATTAGCGCCATATCGAAGAACATTTACCGACTGATTTGCTTCACTCAACTGCACCCTAGCATTCATGACTTTAATCTGTTCCTTTGACGCTTCAGCTGTTCTCGCCATATTTATAGTTTTTTCCAGTGTACGTTTCTCTTCTCTTAACATTCTTTCTTTCACAGTTAAGTCTTGTTATACTAAACACAAACTTGTCCCTAACCATATCGTCAACCGATGTATATTCACAAGATTTTACTTTGTTCTTTAATCTTGTGACAAATTGGTCAACCGTCTCTGAATCTCTCTGCGTAATTTTCCAGAACTGATATCTCTCGAATACTACATTTTTTGGGGATTACAATACCTTTCAAACTGTTCGATAACCTTATCCAATTTTTTATCATCGCCAGCAGAAAACTCAAAGTATTGAAAACTTTTATAGCGTCTTCGCCGGCAAAATTTAACAATATGGCTATTTTAATTAGGTCGTCTTTGTCTTTGCTTCCTGACGCGACTAAATATATCTGAAACTGCTCTGATGTATTTTCATCGAAACTTAAAGCACTCAGCTTATGAAAGCTATCCATAAAATCCCACACCTGACACCATGTAAAATACGTTTAATTTCAGTATATATAAGAACTACAGTGACTTGTCAACAACAAGCCTTTATATAATCCTAAATGCTAATTTACATAAACTGTCATGCTAAATGTGACACTTAATCATTACAATGAATGGTGTCATTTGAAGCGGACATATTAGTCAGTTGTTCTGCAGCCTCGAAAGTGGTGTTAAAACAATAATTGGAACAAACCCCGACTTAGTATTTTTATATAAACATTATACAGTATTCAGTGATAAGCTAGCTATGGCAACTAGCCATGCAATGCTAATAAACCTGCATCTATTTGAATAATGCAAATCATTAAAAAATTGCATAGCATGACCTGTTGCTATATGCCATATATGTCTAGCTTCACCACTGACAGTATTATAATTATAGACACAAAAGCAAGCAGTTATAAGCATTGAAGATATGGATATAAAACCGCACATGCTAAGAAAGTAGAATTCGGACGTTTAGCCGACCCTTGACTTTGTGCAAGGTGTTTGATATTCAAATTACACTTTTCCTACCTCCTCAACAGGTGTCTTAGAGGCTGTTCGCATGATGGAGGCAGGACGATTTTGATGTATTGAAATATTAGTTACTAGGTAAAAGAAAGTTCAAATGCTGGTGAACAGATCTCAAATGTTGTGGAGAAAATCATGTGGTTCAAGAAGGTTATTATGCTTGAACAACCTTTCATTTACAGTTAATTATAAGCCATCTCTAGAAAATAATGAAGTTTTTTGCTGAATTATGCACTATGACTTATTTCAGCACATTGAAATCAACCTGCCTCATATATATATCCTGGCAAAGTGGGATCATATAAACAGACCCTTATTCAGCAAATTGTGCATGCGGCTTTTCGTCCCTTGGGGCGAGGCAGCATTTCCTTGCGATAGTAACTTCTAGTAATTATATATTCTGTCGTTGTAAACTTTTGATTTCCCTGCTTTGATAGATATTTTCAAGATATCCTGCCATAGTATTCGTTTTTCTTCCATGTGCTATCTTCCCTATATATCGTTTTATCATCCATTTTTATGAGATTCATGGTGATGTAAGAAAAACTTGACTGCAAAAACTTCTTTCTTTGTTTTTTATTTGATTTACATATTTATATTTGATTTATTTTATATTTGATTTACAATAGCATTCCAATGTCGCACAATGGATTTGTTGGATCCACTTGGGAATATTGCTATACATATAAAGTAGCACCCGATTAGTGTGTTTGACGCCAGTTGACAGCTGGAAATTTTGTCTTTGATGGCTGCCAGCCGAGCTGTACTATAGCATACTATTCATTCAAAAAATGTACACATTTCATAGACTGGTTCTAGAATGTTTTCATAAGCAGCAAACCACCAAAATTACATTAAAATTTCCGAAAATCATCAAAATGCATCTAAATTTATCTTCCCAATGCATACAGCTAGCTATGCGACAGATATATAAATAAGAAAAAAAATTATGGCAAAGAGAAAATTCAGATTCATTCGCACTCACTCTGGGATTCTGAGTGTTGTTCCAGCATTTATTGTATCAGGTCATTCATTTAATTTATTGTATCAGGTCATTCTTAGCCAGTACGAATATCACAACATACATCATTGTACACGGCCAAGGGTACAGTAACAGCCGAGCCGTATCTACTCTTACAATAAAATACTTACAATTCATCATGGCATAGATCATGGCTACCAGCCGGGGTTATTTAACTGTAATACAATACTACAATGCAATATGAGTGTCAGATGAGCCTGTCAGAATACATCACGGCTACCAGCCGGCAACACAGCTATCAGCTGGGCCTGTCTGTATACTGTAGTACACTAGAGACAGGCCGCCGGGCCTGCAGTATCAGTGCCGGTTTGCAACCATGATGTATTGTAGTATACTACAGTATACTACCGACAGGCTTGGCTGACAGTCATATTGCATTGTAGCACTGTATTACAGTTAAATAACGTACCCCAGCTGGTAGCTGTGATGTTTTGTAGTATACTATCAGCCGGGCCTGTCTGTTGTATATTATAGTATACTGCAGAGAGGCACGTGGGTGACAGCAAATAAATAAAATATAGTATATTATTACAGTATAATATAATATATTATTATTACCATTAAATAACCCTGGCTGGTGCCTGGTAACTGTGATGTTTCATTGTTTTGTAGTATACTATAGCTATAGTATACTACAGATAGGCCCGGTTGTTGGTTGTTGGCTGATAGCTTTATTGCATTGTAGTGTCGTATCACAGTTAAAAATGACCTCAGCTGGTAACTACAGACAGGATCGGCTGATAGACGTATTGCTGGCTGGAAGCCCTGATGTATTGTAGTATACTACAGTATACTACCGATAGGCTCGGCTGACAGTTGTATTGCACTGTAGCATTATTATATTACAGTTAAATAACATACCCCAGCTGGTAGCCATGATGTTTTGTAGTATACTATTAGAAAACTACAGACAGGCCAGGCTGATAGCCGTATTGCCGGCTGGTAGCCACAATGTATTGTAGTATACTATAGTATACAAGGGACAGGCCCAGCTGATAGCTGTAATACCAGATGGTAGCCATGATATATTGTAGTATACTATAGTATACTACCAACAGGCTCAGCTAACACTTGTATTGCATTGTAGTATTGTATTACAGTTAAATAACCCTGGCTGGTAGCTGTGATCTGTGCCGTGATGTATTGTAAGTATTGTATTGTAAGAGTAGATACGACTCGGCTGTTACTGTACCCTTGGCCGTGTACAATGGTGCACGTATTTATGCAATCATAAATCGCGCTGGCTAAGAATGACCTGTATATATACAATAAATTAACATATATTCTGTGTAAGGTGTGGTGGCGTGTGGGAACAACATTAAGAGTAAATGCTGAGGATTGTGAGTTCGATCCCAGAGTGAGCGTGAACAAATTTGAATTTTTCTCTTTGCCATAATTTTTTTCTCATTCATTCACCTGTCGCATAGCTACAATCCTGGCAAAAATTATTGTGGACACCGCGTGCGTCAAACAAAAATAGATGTATTTCTACAGAATTACTCCCCAGAAAATTTCTCCCCCTCCTTCCCCCAATTCAACGTTGGTAAATGAAACTTTTCAAATTTAAATGCGCGAAACAACATTGAATAGGGGGTAGGGGGCGACAAATTTCATGAAAGAACGTCTCAATGTTAATATTGGCGTTAGAAAAGTTAGGTGTCCACATAAT